GTCCAAAATGGCATGCAAGTTAGCCCGACTGGCTTCCTGGACCCGCAACTCACCTCCTCTCTCCCGCTCCAGGGTTTTGGGGCCGGCAACTTCAACGCACTGTTCAAGGCTTTAGAACAGGAGCAGAACTTGCGGGGCAACCTCACAGACCTGGAGACCAACGGGGTAGTCCCCGGGATGTAGCCCCCGCCCACCTGCAGGCGCACGGCAAGCCACGCCCCCTCGCCCTGGAACCCGCCCACGCCACAGGCCCGGAACAGCAAGCTCTTCTTATTGGCCGCTCCCTTTAGACCCCGCCCACCAGCCGGGCGTGGACTCCCAAGGTCCCGCCCACCTCTTGACCACGCCCCCTAGTTCGGGCCGCTCCCCGCTCCCGCCCTCCGGAATAAAGCCGACGGGGTTTCAAGGCGATGTCTTGGCGTTTTTTGTGCCGGGCTGGAGCAGTGACGCCATCTGGTCGCCAGGGGGCGCTCAGAACGGCAGCGCTGCAAGAGGCATCTCTGTAACGGGTTCGCAGCGCTGCGGAAAACGAGGCGCCGTGTACAAACGCTTTACAGATAGGACCGCGCGGGTCAGGGGGAATTCTGGAACCAAGGGGGTGCAGAGGGCTTACACTCTAGAGGGGAAGACAGACAATCTCGTTTCATGGAGTAGTAAATGCTACTGAGAAAATAAAGCAAAAAATAAAAAAGAAGAAGAAAAGAAAGCAGATTATGTGGGGGTGAAGCTGCGAGGGGGTACTAATTTGGATCGGGGCAAGGTCTCTCTGGGGAGATGATATTTGGGAGCCGGGAAAATCTGGAAAAAGAGCATCTGCATCCTGTCTGGTGGCTTTATGATCTCTAAAGATGAGCTGTCCCCAACTTTGCTGCCCTGAGCCCAAACTTCTGGACATAGGAAAAGGGAAGGTGTTAGCTAAGGTACTTTGGGAAAGCATCCTTTCTCCGCAAACACTGGACATGGTTCCTGTTCTGAGAGACAGAGCAAGTGGGAGGGATCTGAGCTCCTCACCATGCCAGTCACCGGTGCCCTCTACCGCCAGCGCCGCTCGTCTCCCCAGCCTTGGTCCCAGTGAGAATTCCGCTTGGAAAGAAGCTAGTTCATACTCAAGTGTGAGTGACCTTTGCAAAATAATGACACAGTTGGGAGATGAACTACTAGTCCTAAAACTCTTGAAAGGAAAATTTTCTTCAAAACCAGAGAAGAGGAGGTGGGGGCAAATTGGGTCTTTCCTTCTGCTGATGCTTAACAGCCCTCCCTGAAGATGACTCAACTCAGAATTAGAAGCAGGTGAATCTCAGTGTAAGAAAAAAACCTAAGTTGATATAATGAGAGAATTGCGGGATTTTTTTTTTTTTCAGATAATAGAAATCAGGGCTTCTGGGATCATGAAACTTCAGAAATAAAAGGAACATCAGCAAGAACCCAGAGAACAATGCAGGCTCCAGGCCCAGGGGCTGCTGGTTAAAAATACCCTCTCTCTATTTACCTATGGCTTATGCAAAGAAGGGAAATTCTATAACCCAGGAGGGCTGAAAACTGGTGGCTCACAGGCCAAATCTGGTTCACAGATGTATTTTGTCTGCGTGGCTTCAAGCAAATTTGAGTCAACATTTCAGAAAGTTGGGATATTTCACATGCAAATTCTAGGATTCTTGGAACCACCCGGCAATCCTGGGCTTGCCTCCCTATGCCCCAACAATCAGCTGGTGTCAAGCGGTGGGTGCCTCTTTAGATGGGACCTGGGCAGAGTAGCCCCACATTAGCTGAGCGCATAGAGGGAATCGGACTTCCTGGGTCCTCACTCCCAGGTCAGCTGCTTGCTAAGCTGTGTTATCTTGGGCAAGCTACTGACCTCTCGATGCCTCAGTTTTCCTCATCCGTTCAGTGGGGATGAAGTGACACTCTTCTCCTAGTGATGCTGTGAGTCTAACAGCAAAGATGTTTAAAAGAGGCTGGCTCAGTGTCAGTGCTGTGTTTGCTGCTTTTGTTTTTGTTTTTTGTTTTTTATTTTTCTTTTTTTGGAGAGGGGCTTGGGTGAGGGGCTCTACCTGAGCCTACTTGGCACCCCCTCCTCACCCCACCCCTGTCTGCCCTGCGCATGCAGATGTCTCTCGCTGAGGCTCCCATTTCGGTCCCTATAGCAGAACCAGTGAGGAAAGGACTTATCCTGTGGGACCGATGGGCAAAGGGAGAAGTGGATGATTTGAAGAATAAGGGAGAAAGAGAACTATCAGACTTGGCAGCTGAGGGAAAGGGAAAGTCCAGGATTCCTGGGTTTTGAGCTTAGGTAACCAGCAGCAGCAGTGATGAGTGAAGGTGGAGAACAGAAATGCCATTGACCCAGGTGGAAAATACAGCAGGAGGAGCAGTTCCGAGAGGGAAGATGAAGGCAACTCAAGTTTGGATCATTTCTCTTATGTGCCTTGGGCTGGACACCCTGGGTTGTCCTCCTGCTGCCCTGCAGGGCCCAGTAGGTCTGCCTCCCCCTATTCCCCCTGAGTGCCTCCGGGACTTATTTTCCTTTCCTCTCCCTGTCCCTTACTCAGCTGCAGCCTCGCGGGCCTCCTTGCTGGTCCTCACGCTAGTTGGGGCCCGGCCTCAGGGCCTTTGCACTCGTTTCTCCACCCTCTGCAGTGAGAGAATGGACCCTTGTCTCCTTTGAGTTTTGCTCCCATGTTGGCGAAGTGGACTTCCCAAGCCACCCTATTTAAAATTTCACTGCCCTCCCAACTGCCACCCTCTTCTCGTCTATAGCATTTACTCTTCATGTTTGTCTGGCTCACCCACAAAATCACAGTCACCATGAAGACGGTGAGTGTTTCCCCACTCCCGTGTCCCCAGTGCCTAGAGGGGTAGCCGGCATATAGTACGTGTTCAATAAATGTTGGTCGAATGACCGAATGACCAGAAGCTGCATCTACCTTCTTTCCTGGCTCGGTCTCACCCTCAGCAATTTTTCTGTTCCCACGAACCCACCTGCAGTGAAGACTACCTGTCTGCACGTACGATTCCAAAGAGCAGCCCACTGCTGACGGACAGCGGCCCTGCCTTCATCTCTTAGCTCGCAGCAAAGCTGCCAACAGCATCCTGGTGCATCTTGCTCATGGCTATTAGGTTCAGTTCTTGACAGGGCAACATTTGGGGCAAGAGTTTATGTGCATTTAGAATACTGATTGTTCATATCTAATTTTTCCTCCTAAAGGTGGTGGCAATTTCTGCTGCCACTGATAGTGCGCGAGTGTCCCCTGCCCCACGCTTGCCAACAATGGGGACTTTCCATCTAATATTTGCCACTTGACAAGGGAAATGGTATC